CCCAAGGAGGGGTCGCTATGAGTCAGGGCTGACTCGACGGCACATAACAACAACAACAACAACAACAACAACAGGTAATTAAGGGTTGACTATATTTCAGTTCACCCATCAACAGAAAATAATTAGTAAGAATTAAAATTTGAGCATTGTTGTGTTCGCCTTACCTTGTTCATTTATATCTGAGAGTAATGTGGGGTGAGTCTTTGGCGGGTATTAGAGGAAGGCAAAATTGAACCCAAGGGAAGAATGCCAGAATGCCAGTTAATTGGTCACTAAGGGACTGAGGACACGACGAGAAGGGACAAGATGCACATAATATTTTGTCTGTTCACCCACAGAGCAACTTCTTACAGAACTTTCTGTGTCTGACGTTGCCAAAAGGAGGGAGTAAGCGTCTCAGTCATCCGGCTGCTCTGTGGTTGAGGTTGCTGCTGAGCCTGTCACTGGGAGAGGATGGGCAACAGATGATCCTGCGGCTCGACGGTGGCCTGGACTTACTGGCGGAGATGAGCCAATTCAGGCTCAAGAGCAGCCCCTCTGTAGCGCTCCTGATCGTCCACAACCTGTGCTTCAGCCCTGCCAGCAAGCCCAGGATTCTGGCTCACGGTCAGTGCTCTCGTTGTACCTCACGGCACACATGCATGTCTGTAGACACGTGGATTCACGTTCCGTTCAGGTAGAAACACTGGACGTCACTGTGTAGTAACCTGCTGGGTGTGCTGGGCCCCAGCTGTGCTTCAGGCGCTGTGGAAGGCAGGATGACGGGATGAGTCACACAGCCCCAGCCTTCCAGGTGCTTCTGGCCCACCAGTTTCACAAGCCATGATGTCTGGGATAGACACACTGCACACAGGCAGCAAAGGAATGGGGGTGGGAGAGCACCGGGCGTGTGGATTGCATGTCTGTTGCAAGTAGCACCTTCCATTCTCCTCTCTCTCGCTTTCCCTTCAAATGCCTCTCTCTGCCCTTAAGTCTCTGAGCACAGTGCTGCCATCTCAGGGATGCCTTTGCAGACCCTCTGGCACCCCCTTCTCCTGGGCTCTTGCCCCTCCTCCTCTCTCTGCCATGTAGCGTTTCACCTGTGAAATGAGCTCGGCTTAATGTGTTGTTTGTTGCTGCTCTTCACATCCACAAGCTCTGGGGTGGGGGATTCGGGTCTGCGTCTGTAGTCCC